CAAACATCTAATTTGAACCAGCGCTGCATTCAACATACCACGTGCTTTTCACTTAAGAAGTTGAGTAATATGTAGTACTAAAATTTGAATTATAATCTACAGATTGATACCAAAGTTATTAACATAAATTCATGAAATAGTAGTTCAATAAAATTTTTAATGCGAGTCAACAAACGGGATGACATGGCCTTTCACCCGTGACCTGTCTCGAAAGGGTTAAAACACTTTTTAATAAAAGGTCTCGACACGTATTGGCAACCCCTAGTTGCATTCTTCAGGGGTATTTACCTATTAATGTGTAATGATGTGTTTATAATATTACAAAATGGTATAAAAGTGCTATTTGAAACTATTTAGTGAGAGTATTATATAACTACTACATTTTTATAAAAAAAATTGCTTTTTCTTTATGATATCAGTATTAAACAATTCAGAAAAAAATTTTCCACATATGGTGTAACCTGGTCCTACAATGTTGTTGTTGTTGTATTTTTGGTTGCTAATATAATCCCTTACAAACTTTACCAACAGATACTTGTGTAAATGAATATCGTATACTGTAATTCCATACAAGTGTAATTATATAAATGTTTATCAATCTAAATACAAAGTATACCACTTTTCAAACTAATTATTTTAATGATTAACTAGTATTGTTTTACATTAATATTTTTTCACAGTGGTACAACATAGATAGATGTACATCAAACATATATATATGTATATATATTATGAATGTGTAGGTTATATGCTTTACACTTTTTGAAATACAGTAAGATATTTTAAGCTACTATTACTAACCTCCACAGATATAAATCATGGGTTGTTTACTTGAACCTTGGTCTTTACTTGTGCCCTCCATACTTAAAATGTTTTTGAAAAATCACACCTAGGAAAATCAAAATCCATTTAGCAAAACTATTTTCATATGTAAAATAACTTAAACTTGTGGTAAAAAAACTAAAAGTCAGTGAAGAATCTGTTTTAGAAAATTAATGTTTTGGATAAAAAATATATCAGAATGTTATCAAAATAAACTTGGATGTTTTTAGTTTCAGAATTACTAACTATATTTCTAATTGTGAAGTGTAACTTCAACAGAATCCACAATGGCGTGGAGGCCTGCTTTATTCTTTCACTACTACTCCTGCAGTAGATTAATTTCAGTGAATTCACAGCTCATCAGTACTCCAAACCTGCATAATTTTGTCATCCTATCACTTACAGTCTGCTGTACTTCTTTTGTTTGTTCTCCCAAACAGTACTGGTGAACTATGAATTATGTAAAACTAGTTACTGAAGAGGGAGTATCAAAACAAAAAATAGGTTAGGCTTTAAGTCATTCCTGGATTCTTTCTTCAATGAAGTTACACATTTTAGTGAGAAAAAGTTCACAATTAATTTACCAGCTAGTCCATTGAACAATTATGAATAGTCACAAATTGTTCAAGTATCTAAAGAATTAGTAATATCAAACTCCGTTAATTTTTTTGCAGAGGATTGACTGATATATACAAAAAAATACAATCGTGAAATAGCAGATAACATCTTACAAAAACTGAATACATCCAGTCCCCTAATAACTTAAACTTTTGAAACAAATCTTAAAGAAATGACTACAATAAGAAATAAGATACTGAAGAAATTAACACTAATCAGCATATTAAAAATATTTTTTCAATATAGGTAAACCCACTATTTTCCAACCATTTTAGAATTGACACATTCACATCCTATGTCTAGCATGAATGTCCAATGATATCATTTCAAATGGCAAACACCAGGTGTCTTATTTGTAATAAATTAATGGCTTACTACTTCTATATGCTCTACTAATTAACTAGTGCAATTATCTACAACAAACAAAATATTTGTAAATGATATGGTAGAATACAGATGCACTCCCCTGAGTTCCTGGAATTGTATAAACTGTTGTTGAACCTTAAGTTAACAATTTTCTAACAGTCAAAACAGGCATTTGTTTAGATATTAATTTAACCTTAGAAAGTTAGTTTTGTTGTTTTCTTTTAAGTAAAAGTGCTTAAAACAGTTATTTTTATGCTTTATTGCTTTACAAATTCCAGTACTTTATGTGCTAAACCAAAACTGTTATAATTTGACATGTAGTTGTGCTGTTACTTTTTAGACTATTTTCTACATTTTTATTTATTTTAAGAAAGCAACTAAGCCTTTTAGTTCACATTGTAATAAGTTATTTTCCTCAAGTTGTAGAAGTGCTCAAACTAAGACAAACAGTAGTTACTTTAGTCCATAAATAATGAGTTGTAATTTTTCTATATATACATTTTTGAATTCATAGCTATATGTGGCTCAAGTAACAGAAAAAGTTTTTTATCCACTGCTTATACAGAGGATTGACTTGGAGCTTCATCACATCATTATACTCCATGTTGCCACATCTGGTCATAATCTATCTAATAACCCTGTAGTTGTTAGACTGTCATATACAAGTCACACCATTCCTCCCTATGGCTTTCCATAATTCATTTAGTGTACAACAACAATGGTTTCCCAGACCTGTTATTTGAAAATCATTAAAATAATCCATTAATCAAAACTGGACTTTCCCATTATTAGTATTTTTGATTTTTCAACTATTCAAGTAGTAAAAATACTGTAATTATGCTTGTTGTTAACCCTCTCACTATGGGTATCATTTACTGCTCATGTCACAAGTTTTTAGCGAGTTACACTAGTTTTTAGTTAAGTTATACCAAGTAGTATAGCATAAAATTGTAGCTAATAATCCATATTTTAATAGTGTATAATTTCTAAGTTCCTAATTTTATAAGACAATATTTAAAAAATCCTAGTGTGATAAATGTGACATTTTTTCTCTAGACATCCCCTCTCCTCTAATTTATTCACCACTCCTCCAATGAGAATGAAATTTAACGTCAATTACTCACAATAATATCATCATTGTTCAAACAAAGCATAATTTTCCTAGCCTTCAAACTTGTTTGGTTACAGAGCCATCAAATAGAAATTCAGACCCCTCTTGCCAAACCCATCTGTCACATCTTCTCTTTCAGGATTTGTTAATAGTTCTTCCTTACATTTAACTCTTTATTATTTATAACCAATAGAAAGCCACAGTTTGCACCTGTCAAATGACATACTACATTGTTTCTGAACAGATAATTGTTAATTTCTTTTTAGTACAAGCTTCATTCCCAAGGGAAAGATATAAACTAGCTTCGATGAATTTGTAACGGCTCTTGTTGCTTTGTTAGAAAGCCAGAAAAATTTTGAGTTATAGGACATTGTCTGCTTATTGCATGTCATTATTCTTTGATTCTTGGTGCATTATTTAATTAAATAATTATTTAATGCACTAATACCATTAATATAAAAAAGTAGGGTTAAGTGTCATCCACAGTCAACACAAAAAAAAAAAAAAGTACCAGATAAGTATTTTATTTTTTGCTTTTCATGTGTATTATTTATGTATTATTATAAAAGTAACTAAAATGTAATATTAGGAATGTTAGATTAGGTAAAATAAATAAACATTAATAATATAATAAAATATATTCACAAGGCACATATGCAAACAGCTCGTGGATAATGTAATTCGATAGCCTAACGTGAGTCCCATATTCCCCCAAGTGATTTACAACTTATAATGGCATAAATAGTAATCAAACATGGTTCAATGGACAATAAAATTTAAGTATAAAAAGATGAATACTGTTAAGACTTTAAAGCTATTTAGGATAAACAAATTGAGTTTCATGTTACAATTTGACATCATTCTAGAAAGAAAGAACAAAAAAAAAAGAGTAATTTAGATTTATTTTATTTTGGTGGTTGCGAGGTCGGTCAAATTGACCAACTTTGTACAGAGTTCCAGTAGAGAAAATAAGAGACAAAACATAAAGTTGTACTGTATTGTCATTCATACCCATAATTTGTATTGACCTGGAGAGAGGCAAAGCTAACCTTATCACATTTATTGTTATTCTGTTTCATACTGATCAAAACTTTAATAAAATTTTGTTTGCAGTTATCATTATGCTCTGTTTATTTCGTATATTTTCCCAATTTTCTCATGGTAGCTAGGCCTTCCTTATTTCATAGGCTCCATCAGTCGTGTCTGTCTAACATTAGCCTTAAGGCTATACGTGTGTCATCCAAAGGGGGGTCAGTGTTTCAACAGTTGACAATTAACAATAAAAATTCCAAGTTTGATTTTGTAAATTTGATTGTCTTATTTCCTACCAACAGTTTATTGGTAAGAAGTTGAGACTGCCATGTTAGTTTTATTGTCGTAAGAAATTAATCTCACTAAACATTTGTGCTATCGACATTGTTTTCGTTGCAAATTACCATCCACCCATATATGTATGCATAGAAACATTGTGCAACACAAAGTGTGGTAATGTAACTAGCTGAGCTGTATACACTGTACTGTGTTACCATGCATAGCCAATAGAAAGATTAGTGACTAGAACAGCATTATTAACCAATCACTAAAGTGAACTTTTCCTAGCATTTTCAATCCCTTTTGGTGGATTGTACCAACATTTCTCTTGTACAAATTACAACTCTTTTTCTACAAAAAAAATGGACCAAAAATATTTTTGTGTGGGTTAAAATTTTTGATTTCTTAGTTAGGGATTTTATCAATGATTTTGGTCGAGGACCAGAGTTAACATTACGTGTGTAGTGTGGGCATGGATAAATGTACAGTATACTGTGATGCTGTTTTGAGTAAGGGTCTGTGTCAGGGCACCAATTTTCCGTCAGATAACACAGGGGGGTTTAAGTGGGCTGTCTGAGGAAGTTTTTAGTTGTCTTAGATGACTGGAAGACCATTAAAATCAAGCCCTATTAAACAATAAAGCTACATAATGACATGTCTGTGATCTGCCCAAGTTTTATTTTTCTACTTCAAGTTTGTTCAGCTTTGGTGAGTTAAGGGAGTAGTGCCAGTGATTCAGGGTCTTGGGTTTGGTTCTCAATGCCACCAAACTTGCTTGCCCTGTCTTTGTTATGGCAAAGCTACTGAGGCTATGTGGCACTGTCACTAATATCGATATGATGACCACAAGAAAGGAAACTGGTTGGCAGCTCCCACTGTCAACATTTTTTTTTTCTTAAATGCTGACTAAAAGGGAATACAACAGGCTGGTAGCACTTGCTGCCAACATTTTGTTTTTGTTTGAGGAACACTGTACTAATCAATTAATCAAATGTAATTGATTAACCTACCATATACAATCTCAGTCATTTTGATAGACCTTGTTACCACCATTAAACTATAGATAACTTTTAAAGCAATAAGTGTATCTTCAAAAATTTAACAAGCTTTCAGTAAACATTACAAGTCTTTTGGAAACAAAAATCAGATATTTTGATTAAATATTTTCACTAACATTTGTCTAAGAATTTATGAAGCCTTTATTGAGTGCAAGGTGATTTGGTCTTTGTGTTAAGATTAAAATACTTTTTTCAACTTACAATTTTATTTGCATGACCTTTAGAACCTCCTGAATGAATACTAAAATTTGTTTGCAATAAAACTATACTTTAGACCAAGAAAAAAATATATACATTGTTTAGCATCCCTGCCAACTTCCTTTTTAGAAACTGCTTCCTTCAATTTTTGTTGGCGATTTTTTTTTTCCTTTTTGAATTATCGTTTTCCAATCATACAAAGACGACTTTTGAATAAAAATGAGATGAACACAGTTGATTCATTTTGCCCTTTTACTATATTTTTCATAACTTCTATATCATTTTGATGAAAAAAATTAAAAAGAAGATTCCTTCAAAAACTCCAGACACTAAACATTGTTTACTTAGCCTTAAATGTTATTTTCTCAACTAAATGTTGTGAAGTCAGCAATGTAGGCATTGGAT